CACCTTGTTTAATGTCCCTGGATGTGTTCTAGTATCTCTGAGGTGTTTTTTAAAATTAATTATTATTTATTTTTGGCTATGTTGGGCCTTCATTGCCGCGCAGGTTTTCTCTAGTTGTGGCCAGTGGGAGCTACTTTCCAGTTTCAAAGCTCGGACTTCTCACTTCAGTAGCTTCTTTTTGTATCTCCCAGGCTCTAGAGCACAGGCTCAGTAGTTGCAGTGTGCGGGCTTAGTTGACCTGTTGGCGTGTGGAATTTTCCCAGGCCAGTGATCAAACCCATGTGCGCTGCACTGGCAGGCAGATTCGTAACCACTGAACCACCAGGAAAGTCCTTAGTGTCTCCTAGTTTACAGTCTATGGGAACTTGAGTAGAATTTGTATCCTCAGTTCAGTTCAGTTCAGACGCTCAGTCGTGTCCGACTGTTTGCGACCCCATGAATTGCAGCACGCCAGGCCTCCCTGTCCACACCAACTCCCAGAGTTGACTCAAACTCACGCCCATCGAGTCGGTGATGCCATCCAGCCATCTCATCCTCTGTCGTCCCCTCCTCCTCCTGCCCCCAATCCCTCCCAGCATCTTTTCCAATGAGTCAACTCTTCGCATGAGGTGGCCAAAGTACTGGAGTTTCAGCTTCAGCATCAGTCCTTCCAATGAACACCCAGGACTGATCTCCCTTAGGATGGACTGGTTGGATCTCCTTGCAGTCCAAGGGACTCTCAAGAGTCTTCTCCAACACCACAGTTCAAAAGCATCAATTTTTTGGTGCTCAGCTTTCTTCACAGTCCAACTCTCACATCCATACATGACCACTGGAAAAACCATAGCTTTGACTAGACGGATCTTTGTTAGCAAAGTAATGTCTCTGCTTTTTAATATGCTGTCTAGGTTGGTCATAACTTTCCTTCCAAGGAGTAAGCGTCTTTTAATTTCATGGCTGCAATCACCATCTGTAGTGATTTTGGAGCCCCCAGAAATAAAGTCTGACACTGTTTCCACTGTCTCCCCACCTATTTCCCATGAGGTGATAGGACCAGATGCCATGATCTTAGTTTTCTGAATATTAAGCTTTAAGCCAACTTTTTCACTCTCCTCTTTCACTTTCATCAAGAGGCTTTTTAGTTCCTCTTCACTATCCTACCGTTGTATAAAAACTGTATAAATCTTAATTATGCTGAATTGGTTCACAGTGCTTTTCAGGTCTGTTATATTCTACTTCTCTGTATATTCATTCTATTAAATTTTGAGGGTTTAATATTGAAATGCCAACTAAAAATCTTTTATAGTGGAACTATAAGTAACCTTGTTCTGTATTTTCCAAGTCTCCTGTAAATGTGTTGTCTTACTTTCATAATTTAAAAAAAAAAACAACACTAGAGGTGCAGGAGTCTCTGCCACCCCTGACTCTTGGCATCTCAATGATATCTTCAAGGCCACAAATGACCCTTCTAGAGCTTGTCCGAATCCAGTCATTACCTCTCTACCAGGAACATTTGAAATTATGTTCTCCTGGGAGTCAAAGTGATAGGGGTCGCTTCTGGTGAATTTCATAGAATTTCATAGCCTGAGTGAACCTCACTCAGCAGCTTATTCCCTGGAGTGTTGACAGTGAGGGCCAGGTGTCCCCAGTGTTGAGGCTACAAGACAGTGACCCTCGGTTAGTCTGTGTCTCTAGGTGACAGTGTGAAGCCAAGCCCCAGGACAACAAGTGTTGGGTGTGGAAAGTCAGTACATCTGCATACCTGTATCGCCGAGCCATTGAAATGACACAGCTGTTTGTTTCTGAAAGACAGTCCAACCTAGAGGCTCTGCTCACCACCTTAGAAATACATACAAACTGACAAAGTCAAATCTGCCTGCAATGCAGGAGATTCAGGTTCGATGCCAGGGTGGGAAGTTCCCCTGGATTAAACCATGAGGTTGCAGAGAGTTGGACATGACTGAGGTGAGTAAGCACGCTCACATGCAATAATGGCAAAAGGCAGAAGGAGGGGAAGAGGAAGGAACTTAACATTTTTCCCATCGTCTCTAAAAGACAGGAGTCCATGATCTTCCTTTGTTTGGGACCTGGGACCCTTTGCTGCAGTGCTTGCACATGTACAAACTTCTGTGAGAGGAAAGAAATACAAAGAAACTCTAAGGGACTAAAAATAACCACATGCATACACAGCCAGGACAAATTCTGAACAATGAGAGCAAGTATCCCCTCTGCCACTTCTGAGGATCCGGCAGCAAAAGCAGAGTACTGAGCATGCCCCATGCGTATGCCACCATTTAATGGTGTTATAAGCCACCTAAGCCACCCCTCCAGTCTGACCTCTGGACACATCCTAACATCACCCCATATTAGGATCAAGTTTGAACTCCACTCCCTCCCCAAGTGAGCAAGCAAGCAAGGGAACGTGTTACTTGTTCTCGCTCCCTCTTGCTGCAGCAGAGGCCTCCATAAAGCCTTGCCTGAATTTCTTGTGTGACCTGTAATCAGTTTCTACTGATGGAGTAGGCCAAGAACCCTGGTTGGTGACATTTATGTTTTATTTCAAATCATACTTCCCACATTGTTTAATCTTGGTCTTATATTTTCCCAGCCTGATTTATTTCTATACTTTTTTGTATGGAGGATAATTGCTTTCATGTTTTGTTGGTTTCTGCCCTACAACAGTGCAAATTAGCTCTAAGCATATATATAAATGGGCTTCCCAGGTGGTACTGGTGGTAAAGAACCCGCCAGATAATGCAGGAGACATAAGAGATGCAAGTTCAATCCCTGGGTGGGGAAGATTCCCTGGAGGAGGGCACAGCAACCCACTCCAGTATTCTTGCCTGGAGAATCCCATGGACAGAGGAGCCTGGCGGGCTACAGTCCATAGACTCACAGAGAGTTGTGCAGGACTGAAGCGACTGAGCATGTATGCATGCAATATATATATCCTTTCCTTCTTGAGTCTCCCTCCTGCCCCCCCACTACCCGTCCCAGCCCTTGGTTCCATATTTAACTTGATTCCATTTTCACCTCCAATCTTTTTACCTTGACTTCTCTGTTGTTGAATTCTTTCACTTGAATCTTTCTTATTTGGCTAGATTTCATTTTGGGTAGCTTTTCCCATGGCTTCTCTGTTGCTTTTGTATTTGAAGAGATATCTTAGCTGTGTATACTATTCACACATCAATCTTTCCCTTACACTTTTGTAGATATTGCCCTATAGTTTCCTGTTATCGAATTTGGCATGGAGAAGTCTTAGTTTTATTTTTTGGCCATTCGGCTTGTGAGATCTTAATTCCCCAGCAGGGGTCGAACCTGTGCCCCCTGTAGTGGAAGCACTAGACTACCAGGGAAGTCCTGAAACTTGCTTTTTTTTTCTTTTTCTTGGGAAAACAAAACAAAACCAAACCAAGAACCCTGCTTTATTGAGATATAGTTTACATGCCATAAAATTCACCTGTTTAAAGTGTACAATTTAATGGATTTTAATATTTACAGAGTTTTGCAACCATTACTGTAATCTACTTTCAGAACATTTTTATTGCTCCAAAGAGAAACCTCCCATCCATTCACAGTGACTCATTTTCTTTTCCCCTAGGTCCTGTGGCAACTATTTATCCATGATGGATTTGTCTATTCTGGATATTTCATATGTATCCATACATGAACTCACAATGTTTGGTCTGTTGTCTCTGCCTCCTTTCATGGAGCATAATCTTTTGCAGGTTCATCCATGTGTGGCATGTGTCAGTCCCACTTTATGGTCAAATAATATTTCACTGTATGAACGGTTGTATCACATTTTGGTCATCCATTCATCAGTTGATGGATATGTGGGCTGTTTCTGCTTTCAGGTTATTATGAATAATGCTGCTGTGAACATTCATATACAACGTTTTGTGTGGACATGTACTTCAATTCTTTTGAGTATGACCTAGAAGTGGAATTTCTGGGTCACATGGTGGCTGGTGGTTTTGTCACTAAGTCATGCCCCCCTCGTAACAGAGTAATGTCCAGAACTATGATCGTCGTAAGTTAATGCTGATTTTTTTCCTAAGTGGTAGGATTTCAGGAGAGTCATTAATTTCTTCTTTGTACCTCTTTAAGTTTGAATATTTTTTAAATAATGAGAATATATAATTTTATATTAAATTCATTATGACTTTAAAAAGTTTTCACCTTCAGTTTTTCAAATACTTTTAAACACGTTTAAAAGTGACTTCATTCCTTAATATTGTTAGAGAACAGTTTACCAAAACCACCTGCGTCGGCCAGACCCTAGTGCCTGAGTTGTCTCGCAACAGGAGGTCCCAAGAAGGAACACGGTGCTGTTACCAAAAGCTAACTGGGAGGATTCGGGAGGGGCCCAAAGAAGGGGGAGATGACCAGCCTCCCAGAACCCTTCATGCCGGAATCCATCTTGACGGAGAGATGTGCGTTACCAGGCAGGACTCTGGGTCAGACTGAGCAAGGTCACTGACCAGAGACGACCCAGAAACTAACCCCATCACCATAAAACCGGAGCCTGCAAGCCACAGGGCAGAGCAGCCCTCCTGGGTCTCCTAACCCTGCTGCTCTCTGCGCAGTCACCCCTTCCCAGTCAAGTCTCACGTGTCAGCAGTGTCTCCCCCTTGACAATCCATTTCCTAATGTTAGACAAGAATCTATTCTCAGGCCCTGGAAGGGGTCCCCCTTCCTGCAAAAGCCTCACTGCAATGTTACACTTTACTATTTTTTTTCTCCAGCTTTGTTGAAATATAACTGACATGTAACACTGTATTAGTTTCAGGTGTATGGCATAATGATTAGATATATGTATATATTACAAAATGAACACTACCAAAGTGCTAGTTAACATCCATCACCATAGGCAGTTACATTTTTCCCTTGTGACGAGAATTTTTAAATTTTACTTTCTTGGAGCCGTTGCCGTCGACGTGACCCGCGGTAACCAGCGCGAGCTCGCCCGCCAGAAGAACATGAAAAAGCAAAGCGACCGGTTAAGAGAAAGCGCCGAGATGACAGGCTTTCTGCGGCCGCTCGCAAGCAGAGGGACTCGGAGATCATGCAGCAGAAGTAGAAAAAGGCAAACGAGAAGAAGGAGGAACCCAAGCAGCGTTGTGGCTTCGTGTCCAGCCCTCTCGCCCTGCGCCTGTGTGCCTGGAGCCAGCCCCATCACGCCCGCGGTTTCTCCCGTGGCGCTCACGGGCCGGCTCCGAAGGCGCGCCCTTCACCCTGGGTCTGCTCGGGTCCCGTCTGTGCTTCCTGCCCCTCAGGCAGCCTCTCTCCGCCTGGGCCACTCCTGGGGGTGAGGGGGTTACCCGCTCCCACTGTTTTTTATTCCTGTGGGGCTCACCCCAAAGTATTAAAAGTAGCTTTGTAAAATAAATAAATAAATAAATCTACCTTCGTGGCAACTTTCAAGTATATTAAACAGTATTGTTAACTATAGTCACCATGCTGTAAACTTACATCCCCAGGACTTATCTTTTTTTTTTTTTAATTCTTGACTGCAGTGGGTCTTTGCTGCAAAGCACAGGCTCTCAGGCATGCGGCCTTCTGCAGTTGTGGCTCACGGGCTCTAGAGCATAGATTGTAGTGAGCTCATTGATTGTAGTGAGCAGGCTTAACTGCCCCATATCATGCGGGATCTTCCCACATCTTCCACCAGGGATCCAACCTGTGTCCCCTACACTGGCAGGTGAATTCTTAACCACTAGACTACCAGGGAAGTCCCAAGACTTAATGGGTGCTTATACCTTTTAATCCTCTTCACCCAATTTCCCCTCTCCCAACACTTTACTAAATTTTGACGTAAAGATTCATGTATGACCAAAGTAGCTAAATACTCATCGCTGTCAGAATATTGGCCCTTTGGAACTATCAAGGCTTTGCACAAAATATTCCATTTAATCGTCTCATCAGCACCTCAGAAATAGAAACTCCCAGTTAAACAGATGCGACAATTGAGGCTTAGAGATATTAATCAGCTTTCCCAGGGGTAATTGAACAAATGCAGGAAACAAAATCATACTTTGTGCCTTTATTGCTCTCCACTTCTATCTCCAAGCCCCTTGAAGAATTCCCATGACTCTTATGGATAAGTGAAAATTAAGTAGCAAGGCAGACAAGACCCGGAGGCTTGGTCTTGTCTCTCGTCCTTCCTTCTCCGTGCACCCTGCCCTTCAGCTCTGCCATTTCTTGCTCCTCCCCTTCTCTGCAGACTCTACCCTTGGCAATCTATGGGGTTTCTCCCCTATGCATTCTACCTCTGGTCTACCAATTTTCAACCTGCCCACTTTCATTTGGTTCAGTGTTTGTCTCTCCCTCCAGGCTACATATTCCTGGATGGCAAAGACTGGTCTGATTCATCTTTCTAACCCCACAGAGTCACTCAGGGCTTAATAAATATTTGTTCAATTCAATTTCAAGATCCAGTTCAAGTGTTAACCTCATTCTGTCACTCCTATCCTGTGTTGACTTCCTTCTCCAAACCCTGAAAGCGCCTTTATTTTATACACCTGATTTACTGCTTAGCATATGCTCCTGTCTATTGCTGCTTTTCTCTTTGATGTACACAGTCGGCGATAAAACAGCCAGAAAACACAAACATGCTTTGCTGTATCTGTCCTCAAACTTAGTGCTAGACCTTGTTCACATTAGAAACTCAAGACAAAAGAAAGGAGCATGTTTTCCAAAATGCAATTTTGTTATATACTTAAAAATTTTTTTAAAAAGTCAACTTGTGGGACTTCCCGAGTAGTCCAGAGGCTAAGATTCCACACTACCAATGCAGGGGGCCTGGGTTTGATCCCTGGTCAGGGAAATAGATACCAAATGCCTCAACTAAGACTCAGCACAAATTAGTTAATTAATTAGTTTAAAAAATCAGCTTGTGTTAGGTGGAAGTCTAGGATGGCCCCCAAGTTTCCTTCCCCTTCCCTGGTGTGTATGCCCCTTATACTCTTCTCCCCATGAGTGTGGCTGGGATTTGTGTATATGATGGGATTTTACGTTCATAATTTTTTTTACATTCATAATTTGATTTCATCATATGGCAAACCTGAATGGCTTTTGCTGATGTGAGTAAGGTCCTTAGTCAATCAACCTTAGGTTAATTAAAAGGGGATCATCCTGTATGGCCCTAACCTAGTCAGGGAGCCCTTTAAGACAAGGGTCCGCAGCCCCTGGGCCACAAACCAGTACCGGCCTGTGGCCTGTCAGAACTGGGCTACACAGCAAGAGGTGAGCGGCGGGTGAGCGAGTGAAGCTTCACCTGTGTTTACAGCCACTCCCCACTGCCTGAGCTCTGCCTCCTGTCAGGTCAGTGGCAGCATCAGCTTCTCACAGGAGCGAGAACCCTACTGCGCTTGAATCATCCTGAAACCATTCCCCCCACCTTTTGTCTGTGGAAAAATGGTCTTCCGTAAAACCACTCCCTGGTGCCAAAAAGGCTGGAAACCAATGCTTTAAGAGAGGCTTAAGACATGCCTTTGGGCCTTGAAGAAACAACTCACCAGGAGTTCAGCAGGAACGAATTCTGCCAAAAAAAAGTGAGCCTGACAGAGGACTCAGATGAGATCCCAGACTGGGATGATACCATGATTGTTGCCTCTGAGACCCTGATCAGGCTCTCAGTTATGCGTCCTGAGCTCCTGAATCAGGGAAACTGTATGTATCAGTACTTGTATGTGTGTGGTTGTAGATGGTATTTATAGCTGCCTTCTTCTACGATCCATTCTGTATTCACTTTGCCTTCAGAGAGAACCTCAGTTGGTCCTGGTTCTTTACCTGTTGAGGTGACTCAGACCTTCATTCCTGAAGGGTCTGGGCCATAAGTAGTCATGCCTGGATTGAGTTATAGTTTTCCATTGACCTTAATCACAAGGCATGGAAATACTGAGATGTCCTAAGAGGACCCCTGTATTCCAGATAAATAATTCCTTACCTTCCTCGTGGAGCAGTAGTCTGATTTCCTCTGGGTTGTCAGGATCAATCAGTACAGTAACTTTCTACCTCGCCGGCTGACTCAGAGTAACGAGGAATGCAGAGACCAGGAGGCAGGCTTCACTTTCAGTTCAGTGGAATCATTGCTGTCTCTCCTGATGTAAGCATTCCTCCTGTTGGAACCAAGACCTCTAAGCTAGCAGAGCAAAGTCACAGGAATTGGAAGCAAAAGTTTTGCTAGTAGGTTACTAAGGGTAACAGTGAGTGGGACCACTTCCATTTCTACCCCTTGATTCCTAGACCTGTGAGTCTTAGCTATCAGAGAAATAGCATCATATATTGGACGCTAATTCAGGGAAGATTAATACAGTCTTTGAAGAACCTTGACCCCCTGAAAGGTATTGCCATAGCCAGTGCTGTAACTGAGTCTTCAAAAAGCCATTCCAAATGCAACTAGAGATTATCATACTAAGTGAAGTAAGTCAGAAAGAGAAAGACACATACCATATGATATCACTTATGTGTGGAATCTAAAATATGACACAAATCTATTTACAAAACAGAAACAGACTCACAGGCATAGAGAACAGACTGGTTGCCAAGGGTGAGGGAGTTGGGGAAGGGATAGATTGGGTGATTGGGGTTAGCAGGTGTAGGCTATTACATATAGAATGGATAAACAACAAGGTCCTACTGTATAGCACAGGAAATTATATTCAATATCCTATGATAACCATAATGGAAAAGGATATTAAAAAAAGAATGTGTATATATATATATATAACTGAATCACTTTGTTAGGTGGCAGAAATTAACACATGGTAAATCAACTATGCTTCAATTAAAAAAATAATAAATAACAGGGCATTCCACCATTCTATCAAGCTAGCTGCTTCAGGTTAGTGGGAGATTTGGTAAGACTGGTGACTTCTGGGAGCATGGGCCCATTGCCACACTTATTTTGTTATAAAGTGAATTACTTGATCTGAAGCAATGCTGTGTAGAACATGGTAACAGCGTACAAGGTGTTCTGTAAGCCCACGGATGGTAGTTTTGTCAGAAGCATTACATACAGGAAAGGCAAATCCATATCCAGAATATCTATTAGAGTAAGAACAAAATGCTACCCCTTCCACCGTACAGTCTAATGTAATCAACCTGTCACACATGGCTGGCCGGTTATCCCAGGGGATAGTGCCACCTGGGGGCTCAATGTTGATTCCTGATGCTAGGAGCAGAGCAAGGTCGGCCTTGATGAGTGGAAGCCCATGCACAAAGTTCATCCCTGCCATCATGGCCACTTTGTTCATGAGCTCGTTGGAAGATGATGGGGGTGACTGGGGAGAGAGATTGACTGGTATCCATAAAACAGATCTATAGAGGTCTTATTTACATACATCCTCCCTAAATTTCTTTGTCACCAATTTTCTAATCACATGCCTTCCAAGTCCCTGATATCCAACCGACTCATTGGCCAGAGCCATAAGTGGGCATATAATCACACATCTGGCTATTTCTCCTCCCAGGCAAAGTGAGCAGCCAGGGGCACTATTTGAAGTTCTGGGAGATTTTACCATCCCCCCTGTCCTCCAGGGATGTTCCAGAAAGGGACTATCATACATCTGTCCACTTTCAGGTGGGGCCTGCAAGTCATATAGAACCATCTTTAGCTCAGGCCTGAGACTTTTTTCTGTCTGTCAACTGATTGTAGGGAACACCTCATGAGGCCAAGAGAGAGGTGGCTGCGAAAGAGAAGGCAATGTAAGGGGGGTGGGGACCATTGGCATTTGGGTGACTTCTTCATGCAGCTGATTTGTGCCTTCAGGGGTTGCCTAGGCCCAGTCGCACAGATACATCACTTTCATTTGATGATGGAGTGTTGTGTGCACACCCAACTTCATGGTTTGCTGTGTCAGATAACACTCAGTTCATGAGGTGTGTGTAGCTCAGGTCATATGATAATTTGGTGACCCATGGTCAAGCATTCAGTCTCTACTAAGTCCACTAGGCAGGCCAAGAGCTATTTCTCAAAAGGAATGTTTTTATCCATGGAGGATGGGAGGGGCTTGCTCCAAAATCCTAAAGGCCTATGATGTACTTCATATACTAGTGCCTGCCAAAGGCTCCAGACATCCCTGTCCACTTTTGACGTTCGAGAATCACTGGTTGTGATGGATCATAGGCCCAAGTGGCAGAGTAGCTTAGCAGCCTGGACCTGTTGTAGAACTTTCTTGTTCTGGGCCCCACGCAAAGCCAGCAGCTTTGGGGCCACTCAGTAAATGAGGTAGAGGAAAAGACCCTGATGCTGGGAAAGATTGAAGGCAAAAGGAGAAGAGGGCAACAGAGGATGAGATGGTTAGATATT